TTGGACTATTACGTTGCTTCGACTATTGCACTATACTTTTGCCACGACGTTGCACATTACTGTTGCTCACTATTGCTACTTTACTTTTGCCACATTTTGGGTCTAATCTTTTGCTACACTATGCTCCCCTTACTGTTGCCACGACTTTTTGGTCAAAACTGTTGCTAGACTATTGCCTATTATGTTGCCAGACAATTGGTGCAAATACTGTTCTACACTATTGATATATTACTGTTGTCACAACTCTTGGTACATTACTTGCTACGCTATTGTTATTAGTGTTGCCCGACTATTGCTACTTTTACTGTTGCCACACATTGTCTGTTACTGTTCTCGACTATTGCTACTATTACGTTGCTACACTATTCTACTATTACTGTTGCTACGACTATTGGTACTATTACGTTCTCACTATTGCTACTATTACTGTTGCTACACTTTGCTATTTTTATTTTGCACGACTATTGCACTTTTACTTTTGCCACGACTATTGCACTTTTATGTTTTTCACGACATTGCTACTATTACTTTTGCTACGACATGCTACTATTACTGTGCAGACATTGCTACTATTACGTTCTAGACAATTGCTACTGTTACTTTTGTACGCTTTGCTACCTTACTGTTGCCACCCTATTGGCAATTTTACGTTGCTACGCTTTTGCAAAATTTTACGTTGCTATGATATTGGTGCTATTTATTGTTCGACTATTGGGCACTATTACTTTTGTACGACATTGGACTATTATGTTGCACCATATTGGTCTATTATTTTCTACGACTATTGGTACTATTACTATTGCTTCGATTTTTGGTGCTATTATTTTGGTACAACTTTTGGTATGACATTAGGGGGATTGAAATCAAATAGGGTTTTAAATTTAATTTAGAAAGTTTTAAAAACCTTTTAGGAGAGTTAAATCCATTTAGAATTTTATAATCATTTAAAAGGTTTAAAAATCCTTTAGGAGGATAAAAAATCCTTTAAAAGGGATTGAAATCCATTTAGAAGTTTTGGAATATTTAGAATGATTGGAATTCTTAGGGGGATTAGAATTTTATTTTGCCTTTTAATTGTCCATTTTTCTGCTTCTAGCTATTATTGTCGTGGGCCCGCTAAACCTGCGGGGCGACCGTAAAGCAATGGGGATTGAAGGTACGAGGTCTGTGTGTGTTATATTATATATATATATATATATATATAATAAAATATATTTTATAATATTTAAATATAATAAAATAAAATATATTTTTTTAATATATTATAATATATATATATATTTAAAAAATATATATTTTATATATATATATATATTTTAAATATATATATTTTTTAAAATTAATTGTTGGTGTGGGGGTTGTGTGGGGGTGTGTGTGTGTGTTTGGGGTGTGGGGAAAATTTGTCCAGAAACACATGATCAGGTCACAGATAACCAGGCGGTATTACAGAGAGAGGGGTACAAACAAGGTCACCAGACTGACAGGCAAACTGTTTGTCAGTGACTGGTATTGTAATTGTGAAGGGGTTATCAGATGGGGAGACATAGAGGGAACTAGAAGCTGAGAGATAGAAGTCTCTTCTCTCTCTCTCTCTCCCCCCTCCTCTCTCTCTCTCTCTCTTCTCTCTCTCTCTCTCTCCTCTTTTTCCTCCTCTCCTTTCTCTCTCTCTCTCTCTCTCTCCTCTCTCTCTCCTCTCTCCCTCATCCTCTCTCTCTCCTAAACCCTGAATAAACGGGGTAGCTAAATAAGATCGGCTATCGAAACGGCTAGTTTCTTGTGCACATCATATCTATCCAATTGACCGTTAGCAGATTTTATATCCCGTGGGTGGTGTAACAGTGGATGGTACAGATAGACCACATCCCTCCAGTGGGTGGGCCTTTAATACTTTTTTTATGAGTTTTGAGAGTCCCGGTATTGCGGGGGGCCGTGCCCAAAAATCCACACAGCCTGGAACCCGGCACCCGGGGAAGATACTTGTCCGTTTTTCTTTGAAAACTTCTACACTTTTCCCGCCGTTTTTCTCATATCTTCCGGTAAATTTGAATAGTTGGGGGGGCCCCAATTATTGTCCCCCAAACACCCCTTTTCTCACTGGGTTTATTTTCCCTTTCCCCCCATATCTCTCACTCCACAGTTGTTATGGCAGTGTCAGATTTGGACCAGGGCCCCCATACTTTTTCAGAAAAAATATTTTCAGTTCTTTTTCCCCCTCCGTTTCAGTGAGCCATGTTTAAGACTTTTTTGGCTTCCCAGTAAAATTTAGGTGCTTTACTGGTCCTTGAGCCGTAAAACGACTCTGTATTTGTTCCGCTCTATATTTCCCGCCTTAAAGGGGCCCATCAGCACTGAGCCAAAACCAAATAAAACGACATAGAAGAAGGACTTACGACGACGTTTCGGTCCGACTTGGACCATTTACAAGCAAAAACCCCCTCCTTTTTTTTTTTTATTCTTATTTGTGTATCGTTCCATCACGGTATTGGCCTTTTTTTTTTATTTCTGACAATATTCCCAAATGAGGGACACAGCGATTGAAGTTTGCCCCCATTTTACATTTTTTTTTTTTGAAAGTCTCATATCCACCCTGTCATCCTCCCGGCTGTTGTGATTTTTTTTCTTATATTTTCTTGAAAGAAAAGGGAGCTGTATAATTTTTCGCAAATCTTTCACGTGTTTTTTTTTCGTTTATTTGGGAATCCCTCATTTGATTCTTATTCTTTTCCCCAAATTAATACGGAACTCATCACCATTTAACTCATTTTTTTTCCCCTTCCGCTGGAAAGCCCATTAATTTTTCGTGTCCTCTAAAAAGGACTTTCTGCTTATTTTGTGTCTCTGCAAATGAGAACAAAATTGTGATGGTGTTTTTATCATGTCTGCTTTGAGATGAGAAAACAGCAAGGACCCCGGACAGTACTTTGGGGGAAATGAACTTTTTACCCCGTTGAGTGGATTATGCTTTTTTTACATTACTTTTTTGGGTTTTGTGTGGTCAGGAATCCCAAAAATCCATCTGCCTACCCTTCCCGTAAAGCCCATGGCCCATTTGTCAAAATTTTTTTAGCAAAATCGAAGTATCACAACGTGTTTTTGGGCGTCTTTTTAAAATCTCCGAATTCTGTATTTGTTCAGCAGCTGTGATGGGATGATCGTCCTGCCCAAAACCATGTAGTTCTGGTTTGTTGGTTGTTCTGGCCATGAAATTTTTTAAACGTGTAAAACCTCAAAATTTTTTATTGTGGGGAAGTTTGCTCTCGGATTTTAAGCCATTCAAACTACCCAGAGGGTATATAAAAGGGCCAATTATACTGGAGGTACAGATGAAAAAATTAGTGTAGTATGGTTTGAAATGGATGCAAAAAAACAAAGGGAAAGGGATTTAAATTTAATGATAAAATTTTTAAAAACTATTCTTTGGGGAAAAAAAAAAAAGTTTAAATTTGGGAATAGGGAGGTTTTTTTCCCAAAATGACCCCGGGGGTTTTTTTAAACAAAGCATGGACAGGTTTACTGCAGGAACCAAACCAGTGGGAACTGCCGGTTTTTTAAAAAAAGATGAAAACTAGTGCTGAAACAAGGACTGCGGTTGGGGGAAAAAGCTTTTTTTAAATAAGGGGGTTTTAATCAAAAATTGGGGAAACGGGTTTTTAACAGGGTTTTTTAAACTTTAAGCGAATGTTTTAAGCGGGGGGACTTTGGCAAGTGACTTTCACAGTCCCAAGGGGAAATGAAACTTGCCCGGGTGGGGGGGGGGCTGGAATTTTTTGAAATGAAAAAACAGGAACCCAAGAGTTGAACCCCCCTTAGAACATGAAAAAGCCAATGAAACACCCCTTTTTTCCCCCAACAAAATAAACACCAAGATTTCAAAATTTTGGGAAAAACCTAAAAATGAAAAACCAAGCAAGAAACCAAAACAAAACATTTGGGGTTTTTTAAGGGTTAACCAAGCCAGTTTCGAGGGAATGAACATTAAAAACCAAAAATTTTTTTTTAAAAAAAAAAGAGTCCAACAAATTTGCATAAAGAACAAAAAATAATTTTTCCCAAAAAGGTTTACAAAGCTCAAAGCCAAAGGGAAACCGAGCCCTGGAACCAAAAAAAAGGTCTTTAAAGGCAAAACCCCCAAAAAAAAAATCAGGAAACAAAGGGGGGTGAAAATCTACAGGGGAAAAAACCAAAAAATGCCCCCCTCAGAAACCAAGCAGTGGGAAAACCAACATAAACAAGCCTGTTCAACAGAAATTTCCCCCAACATTTAAAACAAAACCCCCTTTTGAAAACCCAAGCAAGTGCCTTAAAACAGACATGCGTTTTAAACAAAAACAAAACAAAGCATTAACCAAGTTTTGAAAACCCTTGAAAAAGAAAAATGTCCCGCTTCCGTATATAAAAAGCCCGGAGTAAATGAAAATTCCCCTTAGTTTTTTGTAAAAAGTTTAAAGTAAAAATTTAAATTTTTTTAAGTGAAAATGCTTCCTAGTATTTACTTTTGTCCACCACACAACACCCACAACCCAATAACACAAGGGGGGCTCCAAAATATTCACCTCAAACCATAACCCCTTTCCAAGTTTTTAGCATCCCAAGGGGAAACCCCACTAAACACAAGTCCGGCCTTTTTCCAAACAATTTACCAAAAACAAAACCCCAAACCCGAAAGGGGAAAAAGGGGGTTGGCATGGTCTTTTTTACTTTTCAACACCTCCCAGAAAAGGCAGTCCCAACCCCCTTGGTGCTGCCCCCCCTGGATTTATTTCTGCTTAAGCAAAAAAAAGCCGCCCGAAAAAAAAAAAAAACAAATTCTATTTCGGGGGGTTACCCCCGGAAAACCAAACGGGAAAAAAAAACCCCAAAAGTGGGAAAAATAAAAGGAAAAAACAGGGAAAAAAGTGGCCAACAAAAAAAAGGAAACCCCCCTTTACGGAAAACCGCTAAAAAAGCTCCGCATGTTGCAGGAAAAAAATTTTTTAAAAGCAGTGGAAAACCCAAAAAAG